CGTTGCATTCAAACGTTTCTGTTGCCTACCTACCTCCTCCCATTCTGCCCCAACGTTTTCTTCCTCTGCTTCCCCTATTAATTACCAAATGCCCTGCCCCTCTCGCCACCCTCCAATATCCCCCACCCATCTTCCGCCGCCATGTCTCGCCACCGCCGGCAACCCTCCCAGGCTCTTCCGCCCTCGCTCGGGACGAGCCGGCCAAAGCAGCAACCGACGCCGCCGGCGTCGAGGAAGGCAGAGCTCGGCAGCAGAAAACCGGCGGTGCGGCGGAGCCGGAAACTGAATTGCCTCCCCCTTCGGCTAATGGATCGAAGAAGAAGCAGTCGTCAGGCAGTGGGCGCTCTTGAATTGCCAAGTTGGGAGTGACGAAGCCATGGTTTTGGTTTATTAAAGCTTAATTAGGGTTTTTATGTTTCCTTTCCAGATAAAATGAGTGTTCTTGAGCATTGCAGGGTTGGTGCTTTAGCCTGCAAGACTTTCAGAGAGCACGTGTGGCTGATTTTGTCTCCATTTTTTTTTCTTTGGGTTTTGTATAAATGCATTTAAGTTTGTCTCTGATGATTTTTATTATGTTATATGTAATGTTGTTGGGGTTTTGAAGTTCTTATATACCTTCACCTACATAAAACCCCTTTTGGTTAACAACAAATGAAAGGGAAACAAAGAAATTCATGTGGTCCAATTAATATTAGGTTAAATTTGATGATCATGTCATAGCAAAGATCAAATATTATAGTAAGCTCAAACACTATAACAATTGAAAATTATATGATAGGGACTATAGCAATTGAGAAAGAGGAGAGTTATCTTCTTGGCTAATGGTAAGAGTCCTTAGTCATAAGAGGGATTATGCTTTTCTTATTAAAAGAGAGAAGGATATCAATGAACACAATAGAGGATCCTTTTTATTTGTATAAAGTAACATAGATGTTGAACTCCCTAAGGAAAAGTTAGTATTAAAGATAGTTTGCTTCTTTCTTGATTTTTAATAGTAATAAAGTGGTGCTTTTAACTTCAAATTTGAAACTTTAATGAAGTACTATTTCTTCATGCATATCTCTTGAAGCTTATTTAATAGATCATGTGATATTTATGTGGAGGCATGTAGATAAAAGTAGATCTCAATGAATTATATAAAATGGAGATATCCTATGATCAAGGATCCTTTTCATTTTATTATGTTAAAAGATCTCATGAAAAATGGAAAGTGATTATTTGATTTTGTTGTAAGGAGAAAATAGCCTGACATGAAATTTATTAATTTTAAGAAAAAAAAGAGGAACGAGCATATTATAACTATTAGAATAAGTCATCAATGCAGGTATAATTATAGATTAACTTACTTATGCTATTAATAACACTTATGTAGAAACTAAAAGAGGCAAGCGAAAAAGTATTAGCTTTTAGTTTTAGCTTGTTCAAATCACATGTATACTAAATTAGAAGTCTTTTATCACATGATTCAAATTCTAGTGTCATTATTAATAATAAGAAAGTCTTTTTATAAGAAAAAGATTTCAAAATTCTAATATTAAAAAGACATTATAATAACACAAAATTTTAAATTGGACTCAAGTATATATAATATTTGAAAAAGAATTTTAAATTTTAAGTGTCTTATTATTTTGAGATATATGTTCCTTGATGATGTTAATTATCATAAAATTTATAAGGGTGATTAAATTATCTTTAAAATATAAAGTTGGCATTCTTTACGTTATAAAATAAAATATCAAGTGGTGATGTCTTGGATTCAATAAATTGTTGAAGCATCGTAATCTTAGAAAGCAACTAAGAGTTGGCATTTGGGATTTGAAATGATTTTTTAACAAAAAAGTTGTATGAGTTGGGAGAGATTTTTTTGTAAATAATCAGTCAAATCGTGCTTCTATTACAAAAACTAGCCTAACACCAGATTATACATATGTAACATTTAAAGTGAGGATTTTTAATAATTTTAATAGCATGAAAAGTTGTTTCAGCGCACATTCCAAATTAATGCTATTATCTTACTGTAGGGGATCTCCCACAAGTGTTTAGGTATATCAAAATGTTGATCAAATAATGTTTGGCCTTTTAAGACATTGATATTTTAAGAATGATCTTCAAGAGCTATACAAAATAATTTTGTTCACTAAGATTTGAACTAGATTCTTGTGGAATGAAATAACCTTGAATATATATATATATATATCTCTCTCTCTCTCTCTCTCTTCTGTTGTCAACATCCCTACATTCTTGCATCCCCTCACAGTATGAAATAAATTAGAGGGGATTAAAGAAGAACATGTAGTCCAATGTGTCGTGGCATTCAGTCCTTGTCAATATGCGTAGATATTATATCACACTGAAAAAAAAGTTCATGCTAGTAACTTGAAGTACTATATCACATGCACGATAATAAGAATGATAATTTCAGTGTTATAATAAGAAAAGGTGTTATAGATATTAAGGTACTTCTCAACTTAGAAAGATAAAAGAGTATTTCATCCTTTACTAAGGGAGGATTGTTCGACACAAGTAAGGAGGTGAGAAGAATACGGGTGACTAATTTTCCTTTGAAATATACTTGCATTTAACGGAAAAGAAAAGCTAGGACAACGTATGTTTCTCTTTTTTCCTATCTACTAATATTAACAAAATGTCACTTTTTCTTAAGTCCCATACATTTGCATTGAAGCTAAGTGAATTATTTATGTTTTATATAATTATATATGGATGTCAGTGAATCTCATAAAATGACCAATTTTAAGTATGTTAGAATTTCTTGCAAATATTTCATGATATAACATATATTTTGAATTATTTATTATTTCATGTAATTATAGATATAGGTGAATATCTTAAGTCATATAAATTTTAGATTTTTTATTTTTTTATTTTTCATTGTTCTATGATCCACCGTATTATTTACTTCTAAACATTTTCATAATCTTATATTGGATGTAATTCGTTTTCCCTAACATAAGAAAATTGGAACACTCAATTCACTTTGTCTTACAAAAATCATATGAAATACTTAATTCCAACAAATCAATTTTGTTAAAAAACATTCATTATATGGGGAGCATCAAGAAGGCCAAATATGATATCAATATGAAGTGGATAGTTTACCTCTGCCCAATAATCAAAAAGGAAATTAATTTATTGGGATCATCCAAGGCAAATGATCTTCCATTTTGCTTTTAAACTGAGATTTTGTCTCCATTATACTGATTTATAAATAAGAGGATTTACATATACTCCATTCAAAAGATCTTAATCGAAATATTCAACCCCCAAACTGTCTTATTTATATTTATAGCACCTCAAACTTATTAATCCATTAAAAATAGCATTCTTCGTTCACTTCATTATCCTTTGCCCTGATACGCTTAATAATTATTTTCTCAATCTTCTTTGTGATAGGGGTGAATGTTGAAGGGTAAGCCATCAGCCCAATGACATGCATCAATGGGGATCCACTGGCTTTCTCCATTCAAGGGAGGGAGGCGACTCCAAGTAGTAATCAAAGTTCTTGTTAGCATAAGAGAGAAACAATGTTAGACCACCTTCTCCACAAACAACAAGCAAGCATGCCACATATTAAATTAAAATACTTCTGAAAACAATTTTCTAATTTTATTTTGAAGGCATTACTTCAAGAAAAAATTATTACACTAAGACTTCTGATGCAAAACTGTAGGACTTCAATCATAATGTGTCTTGTGTAAGGTCCAACCCCACCATGCATTAAACTACATTTTTTTTTATTCAGTGGAGTCGTATGATACATGTGACACATTATGATTGGAGTCCAGATGCAAAATTGATTCTAATGTAATATTTTTTTCACTTCAAGACATGAAGACTCATTGAAACTCACTACCTCGTTCCTCTAATATGCAAAAAAAAAAAAAAAAGTAAAACAAAATAAAACTCTAAGAAAAAAAAAACATAACCATTCAATTAAACAAAAACTCGGCTCTCATTTAGTTTTTTTAGGCATTTATTGAGTTAAAATTATGTACCTCCAAAATATTTCTTTATAATATGAGAGTTTAGATATTGAATATGTAATCTAGTTTTTTTTAGTAGCATTTGTGTAAATTCCCCTTATAAATATCTTCATATATATGTATATAT